CACTTCCTCAACACTGGGTGTGAGTGGAGCTCTCCAGTGGTCCACCACAGCCTATATTTTAAGGTAGACCCTAAAATACTACATGAAGAGAAAAACCCAACAATCATATGACCCCCTATCAGTAAGCACTTTGGCGACAGTGGGAAAGGAAACCTCCCTTTTAACAGGAAAGAACCTTTGGCAAAACCAGGCTTAGGGAGTGACCGGTTGGGGTGAGAGAAGGAAGACATGACAAACGATATGCTGTGGAAGAGAGCCAGAGATAATGCCTACAGGCTCCTGCTGAAATCTAAATACATGAAACAAACTGACCTTTATTGGCACAGAACCAACTCAGTTCTACCTGTCTGTCCGTGCTTACTTTACTTATATTGGATTTGGACACCTTGCATTAACATGTTACCATAAACAGGTCTTATTTGGTGTTCATTTAGTGTACTTTATTTGGTGCTTCCCAGCAGGAAGACTTCATGACACAGACAGTATGAAGCTTCATCTTCAAAGTAATACCTTCCATTTTGTAAAGCTGGCATTGTTTAACATATTTCTGAAACATGACCAGTCTTTGAGGTCACTACCAAAACATTTGGTTTTTAGGTGAGATTTGTCACAATGGCCACAGGCCGATAGCTAAATTGGACTCAAACGCAGATAACCACAACACAGACGGCTCGCACGTTTTACAGTGTTTGTTTATTAGATCAACAGGTGAATTTGTGGCAAAGTGTTGCTAATGGTGTAGCCGTGGGTCAGTGGGGTGAACGGGGAATTGGCAGGTAGCGACGGGGACGGAGTGCGTCTGGGAAGAAAAAAGAACGGGGTTAAGAAGGCGGCAAGCATAGGGTATTTAGCAGAGGTGGTTAGGACTGATAATGCTTATGGATAGTTGGGGTAACCTTGGCTTTGAGGTAGAGGTGGTGAGGATCCAGGTGAGTAGTGGCAAAGGCTGGCTGACCTGAGTTCTGCTGTGTCCGAGGTGGTGAGTGGTGGCTGGAGGGCAAGCAGGTGAGGTCCTTTGTATTGCCCCAGAATGCGATGATAATCCGAGGAGACCTGGGGGCTGAAGGTAGTGGTAAAGAAGGTCCTGGAAAACAATGCAAGGTCATTGACAAACTGGTGGTGAAGGAGAGTCTCAGTGGAGCTTAAATCCTCAACCTGATTACCCAGAATCAGCCTAAGGTGTGCAGGACTGCAGGAGGGATGATGGCTCCACCCAGGGGTGGAGACCAAGGAACTCAGGTGCCTGAGGGAACTTTCCAGTCAAACCTTGAGATTGAGGATGTGCAGCTCTGCCTGTAATGTGAGTAAACAGTTCACGTGCACATTTATCATTTAATGTAATATTTAATGTGTCAATCAGGATGTCAGTGACACTATGACCTGATACCAATAAAACACACATGGATTTATTTACAATTAATCTGGTAAATTACATTCTTGTTTCATTTTTGGAACAAACGTGTTGTGTTAATAAAGTTTATTTGAACTTCATTGTTTGGTTTAAAACAGTTTCTGGTGCTGTTCAGTTGATTATCAAAGTGAAGTGAACACAGAGCTCATTAGAGGCTGTTAGCATGCCCTTGCACATACACACACAAATATACACACACAGATACACACAAACACGCCCACACACAGGCACACACATAAACGGACACACATACACAGATACACAGATACACAGTCTGCAGTAGCAGATTTATGGCTTTCTTTGTGTTTCGCTGTTTTTTGTCCTCAGTTGAACTCGACTGAATCTGAAAAGCCAGATTTTTGGTTTTCTGTTTTAATTTTCAAAGCTCATCGTGGCCACTAAACAAAGGTTGAAGAAACAACACAAATATAAAAAAATCTTCTCTTTTTAACTTCAATAAATAAATCTGACTATGCTCAAACCAGACTTTCACCCCTGTATTTTACTGTACATGACTAACACCTTCAGGTTCCTCTCTGTTAAAGGGGAGTTTTTCGCTCCTCACTGTTGCCAAAGTGCTTGCTGGTAGAGGGCCAAATGATCGTTGGGGTTTTCTCTGTATTATTGCAGGGTCTTTACTAATTTAAAGCACCTTGACGCAACACAGAATGTTTTTTCTCTCCTTATTTTAGCAGCTGCTGGGGGCCTGGAGAAGGCGGATCTGTCCAAGGCAGAGAAAGTGTCGGATGGGCAAGAGTTGAGCTGAGTGAACACGCCGATTAAATGTAGAGTCACAAAAATAAGAATAAAAAGTGTGAAAGAGAAAACACACTCATCTGCTGTGTGTCAAGGTGTTGCGCTGGAAAGGGTGGCCAAAGTACTACAATAACTTTAGCTATTCTAACTACTGCTAGCTTGAAGGCCTGCGGTACTTAGCCGATTAATAGAGGTAGGTTGATCATATTTAAGATTGAAGCATTAATTAATGGTAGGACTGATAAAGGTAGGGGTCTAACAGACATGTTGATGGTTTGGAGGAAGGAATTACTGAAGTTAATTCAGAAGTGTCAGGGTTAGTGCTGTGGCAGGCAGAACGAGGACCCAATTGCTGGACTCAGAACACAAGAGGGGTAAACTAAGAGAGGAAACAAAAACCTAACACAGGAAACTAGAAACTAAGATCTAAGAGTGTAGGAAACTAGAACCTGGGAAACTAGAAATGAGGAGACAAATGAACATTAAGACAAAGGAGACTAGACGTGAAACGTAGAATATAGAGGAAGAACAGTAACAGAAGCCAAGGGATTAGAAACTATTAAAGCACAAGCAGAACCATGAACAACAATAAATCAAAGAATATTAATTAAACCTGAAACAGTGTGTGACAGAAAGATCAACTGGAGAAAAAAAAAATCTAAATAAATATCAATGGCATTGAAAGCAGCTGTACATTATGTTGTGTCTGTGAGATTGTTATGAGTTTTCTCTAATGCTTAAAATTTTATTTGTGAAGCCATTTCTAGTTAATGTTAAAAGAATGGTTCTCTCAATAGTGTTCTGACTTTTTGTCAGCCTGCTATTGGCCATTTATTTTACATGAATTTCTTTCTTCCTAATTATGTCCCTTCATCTATTTTCTTACCATATTAATTATACCTTCCTCTGTCTTTTCCTCACTCTTTTATTGGGACTGCTGTTCCTCATCCAGCACTTCTTCATAGCTAATGTTAGCAACAGCTGCCTCTTGTGATGGCAAGGGCTTTATATTAGTTGTTGTTGGTGCTACTGTTGACTATGCAGCTGCTAAAGTTACATGTTTCTGCATCTGTTTCTAGTTTCTTTCTTTCTCTCAGCTTTTCAGCTTTTCAACCACTTCAACTCTACAGTCTGTTGTACAAAGTACACAAGTACACCGGGAAGTTAGGTAAGGAGCCAGTTGTGGTAAGAGATTTGATTGGGCAAACCATTGTCAGTATTAAGAATGAAGCCTGTACCCTGTGTAATTATATATTTGGCCAGATTTCTAGAAATAGGAGCTGCTCCATCAAAGTTGGAATGTTTCTGCTTAATTAGACCCAGTTTTCACTAGAAAGTTTCTGAATTAAAAAGCTCACATGTTTTTCAGTCCTGGTGTGCTGACTGTAAGCTCGTCTGGAATCTGGTGCAACTAGGTTCCAGAAGTGTGAATGGCTGGCTGCACGGATGAATTCATGACTCATGAGGATAATTTACAGTAAATAAAATGTTTTCACAGAGACCACGCCTACCACACAGATTGCCAAATCTGTAGTCAGCTAGTCTGACATCATGTTTGCATAATCACCGCTGCAGGATAACTATATTTGTTCACCCACACGGTGAGCGCCTGCTCTTTGTTTTAA